GACGATACGCTGGACGATTGGACATCGGACAGCTCTTTTTTAAGGCAATGTTCACGTTGATATTCCACAATTTGTACTGATCGTCCAGGATGATATATTATCGCCCTAGATGATATGAACAAATTTCTTCTGATCGTCTCAAATCATCCCGGCTGATTGGACTTATTTTGCACTGATCGTACAGGACGATATTAGTGTCATCCTGGATGATAAAGTCGGTAACTTGCATTAATGAGCTTATTTTGAGATCTTTTTAAGCTATGACATGACACTTGGTAAGTGTCTTTGGCAGCCATTGTAGCTTCGTTCGTTTGGGGGATACTTGAAGAGAGAGCTTGAAAGGGAGTGAGGAAATGGTGGAGTTTAAGAGAGGGAGAAGATCCTATGAGGGGGGACTCAAGGGAGTGTGGAGGGGGTTCCACGTGGTTGTTATGGCAAGCTCGCACTTGAATATTGTCGGATTCAAGGCTTGTCTAGAGGGAAGTTCACTAAAGAAGAAGATCTCTTTGGTGTCAAAGGACCCGATGACTCTGCCGCACCGGGGAAGGTAGATGTGATTTTGTAAGGGCTTCTCCGCGTAGCTGTGGGGGCTTAAGGAGCGACACTTAGTTTAGTGAAATACTTGGAGGGTGCCTCCAAGGAGTGGACGTAGGTCAAGGTTTGACCGAACCACTATAAATCTGGTGTGTTCTTTCCTTTATTACTTTCGCATTTAATTTTCGCATCATCGATTTCTTTGTAGTGATTTTGGTTTGTAGTTTTATTTTAAAAGATCTTTAATAGCCAATTCATCTCTCTCTTGGTTAGCCTCTGGCCAATTCATAAGGGCCTAACATCCCTAACGAACTTTCAAGTGGTATTAGAGCAGTATTCATAAAATTTAGTTATGAAAAGCTTTTGAATTTCGATCAATGGCTAATTTTTCAAATCATAATATTGCTAAAGATTATTCAATCACCAGACCACCTTTGTTTGAAAAGATTACATTTGATTTTTAGAAAATTCGCAAGTCCATTTTTTTGCAATCAATTGATTTTCGCATGTGGCATATGATTTTAATTGGTTATTCATTACCGTCACGTATTTTAGATGGAATTAAAACTGACATTCCTTTTAGTCGATGGAATAAATATGAACGAATCGATGCTCAATTGAATGCAAAATCTTTAAATTACTTTTTCTGTGCTTTAAATTCTGAAGATTTTATGTTAGTTTCCACGTACACTACTGGTAGGGAAATTTGGGATAAACTACACACCATATACGAAGGCACTAGTGAAATCAAGTAATCTAAGTTGAATATATTAGTGCATGATTATGAACTATTTTTCATGAAACCTTATGAGACGATCTTAGACCTGTATACTAGGATAAACCTCCACCTCAGCCATCGCGTCCTTCTATGGAGGATTCTGCTTACTCCCATTGGTTTCTCTACCTCCTCCATCACCGCTTTCACCGCTTTCCTTCTTCCCTTCTTTGGGAGCCAACCTAGAGACCGTCGGCACCGTACCATCCTTCTGCGAAGATGTGTCACCGAAGTAGGAGATGCACGCAACAACATCCAGTAGATGTCTCACATGCGCGATAACCCCGTCATCGTCGTAGTCGTCTGTTCCACATTTAACAAAGCGTCACTTTCTTCTTTCGCGCGAGAGAATTTCTATCCCGTTCATTTTGAGCGGGTTTCGATGTCCCACGAACGGCCTCCTATAATACAACGATGATGTTTCGTAGGATTTACGTATTCTCCTCTCAAAATCAACCAAACGACCTAATTTAAGTAATGTGCCTAATTACATTACTTTTCCCTCCTAATTTTGTATACCAAACAACCCCTTAATGGAAAAGAAAAGGTACTCGTAGTAAGGTCTTCTTCTTAGCCCCTATGAAAATTTATTCTTCCAAAAAAAAAAAAAAAAAAGTATAGCCTTATCTTGTGGAGGAATATAGTTAAGGGGAAAATCGATAGTAGAGGGGTTTAAAGCTTAGAGGATACTTTTCCAGTTAAGTGAAGATGGGCCAGCCACCGACCCAAGGGAAGAGATTATGGAAGGGTTAACAAGCTTGATAAGCGGTGTAAAACCAAGGAGATATGGAACCTCTGACTATCCCATCAAGGGGAAGAAGGTGAAAACAAGTGAAATAAAAAAGGGGTGGGCTAGTTCCTTTAGCTGTGCAGAGGAGAAGAACGAGAGAAAACTAGGTGACTAGGGTTACCAGGAAACCCTAGCAGAGTGTAAGACTGGCTAGTTCAAACTATTTGGACTTTATTCCCTTTTTTAATTGTGGTATTGTTTTTCTCTTTAATCTGGTACTTTTGTAGCTTGTTGCTAGATTTCGTTGGATTTGAATGGCAAGTTTATCTGTGTTTTATTAGGTTTGTAATTATAAATAAGGTTCTTGAGGCATCTATAAGCAATTTTCAATATTATTTTTTTTTTGTTTAATTCTTTCTTCTTGAGTTTTGGATGGATGTGAATACTTTGTAAAATTTTCTCCTTTATGAGCGTGTGGCTAGGATTAACACTTCCATGATTTATTTCTTAATTATATATTATTTTCTTAATTTTAGTTATTAGTTTGCATGCATTATCAGATTTATTCAAATCTTATACAGTCTAGTTTTTTATTGTGGCGTGACTTTCAATTGACATATTATTTTATTGAACTTGAATTTTATTAAGAGTCTATTTGGGACAGCTTCCTCACAGCCTCTTAAAGCAGCTGTCCACTACAAAAATTTTAATTTTTATTATAAAAAATTGTTTTAAGAAGTAGCGTAAAAGCCGTCCCAAACCAAGCCCAAATTATAATCCTATCTTCTTTGATTGTGCAAACGATAGTTAGAATGTAAAAAATTCGAATATATTATTTTTTAAAGTGATTCATGGTGTGATTGCATATTCTTTTAGTATTATTATTATTTTTTCTAGATTTTTTGAAGTGATAGATTGTAAAATTTGTGATTCAAATTTATTATTGTAAAATAAATAATTTACTCTTAATGATGAGTTACTCGTTTATAAACTTATTTAAATTTGATTGTAATATTATACTAATTATATAATTTTCTAGCTACATCGAATGACAATTTGGTTACAAAATATTAGAAATGATATTTTTTTATTAGATTTAGATGAAAATTTGACTCTTAACATGACACAACGAAAAGGATTTATGTAGCCGACCCAATGTAGTGGGATAAAAACTTGTTTTTGAATTTCAAATTGACATTATATTCTAGGTTGCAAAAATGAAGAGTTCCTAATTTGAGATAAGCTTGTTACAAGAGGTTGCTCGTCATGATGACAAACTAGAACGTACTTGGTCATCATCATTTGAATTAATTCATGATATGTAATTTAATGATGTTTGATATATCCCCTATAAAATAATAGATAAAATAAATTAAGTTATCTGAATGGATACAATTATTCAACCTATCAAATTGGATAATAATTTAATTTTATTGAATTTATTGAAATGCATTTTGCTAACAATAATTTTGACGTTCCAACATAAATTATTTATGTAGTTTAAGTCGAGTTATTTTTAATGGCAAAAATGCTAACAAAATATTGTAACTATAATCATTAAGTAATATATTTGTTTTTACCATAATCGTATTAAATATTTTGCTAAAATTTATGATGTTATAAGTTACAGTTAAATTACTGTTTTAAAGAATTTCATATATATAATTTTAAAAAAAAGTTAATAAAAATAAATTACATGTACTTAAATTTAAGATATGTGCAATTTAATCTGTTATTATTAAAATGCTAAAGCTGATCACTTAACCAAACAATTAATTTGTGCTTCTAGATTTGAATAAACACCTAAAAATGAATTTACTCAAATAACATTATATAACAACTCCATAAAAGAAAAAGAAAAAAAATATATATAATAACTCCATTATTCAAACAACATTTTTTTTAAACTCCATCTCCCCAGAATTATTTCTAAAAGAACTTTTACATCAACAACAGCTCAACCAAATGGGTTATTGGTTTATGAGCCGTTGGGTATCACTTTCTGATTTTATTGAATATTTATATTTTTTGTATTATTTTGCTATAATTTAATATAAAATATAATTATATATAATAACTTAAATAATTATTATTTTATTTCATTATTTTAAAATAATTCTATTTCTAAAATAACTAAAAATACTCATCAAATATATTTTAAGAATAAAAAAAAATTGATCTCTGTTTCTCTTACTCTTCATATTTTAAGTCAGTCTGGCTTCAAAAAACTAAAATAAAATAAGTCAGTTTGGCTTCCGTTTAAAATAAAATTTGATTTGTAACAAATCGAATCATGTAGAAATTAAATAAATAAATAAGTGCTGAAACAAGGTTTAATCCTTGAAGCATTGCTACCTCATCATATTAGCTGCATCAGATACTCTTTTCATATGCATGGGCTGTCTGGTAAGCTCAAAAAAGAAGACTCAAAAGAAATACAGGAGATTTCAAAATTTAAATGTTTAATTTGAAAAAAAAAAAAAGAGAATGCAATTATAATGAATTCTTTCTTTAATCCCTAACTATTGTTTAATGTATTGTAACATCCCCCAATTTGGGAAAATATTTTTTTTCTTTTCACTAGCTGACTGCAGTCCCAATCGCTTTGGGGCATAATCACCATCAATTGGGAGCCACCATCGGTCACCACATGCCACTGTCAAACACCATTTCCATCATAACCAGCCAACAGCCGCCATAACCAAACGACGCCACGACCGCATTCATTTTATTTTATATTGTATTCACTTTAGTTGAAATAAATAAATAATAATAATCTCTTATATTTTGTTATAGACATCAAAACAACTTCAAATATTTCAAATACCAATATATTCCTCTTACTTTGCATCCCTTGTCAGCAAATCAAACAGCCCAATAAACTCACAAAAGACCAAACGGCTTCCTCCAGTTTAATATGTTCAAAAAAATATAAAAATGCTAAAAATAAACAATGAGACGAGACGAAATGCCAAAATAGTTAGCAGTCAAATCATGACCTGGAGAAGTGTATATTTTGTTACAGAAGCTGACGTATTTGTATGGATCAGTCATTGGTGAAGAGAATTCTACTTCAGACATAGGACCATATTATTTTTTTGGGATATTTAGGCCATTTAAGGCAAACTCACACACACAACGTATACACATAAACTCGAACTCTGAACCTCTTAGTTGGAAGCCTAAGCTCTCAACCAATAGGCCAAGGAGAGTTGTGTCATAGGACCATATGATCTCATGTTGTCTCTATCGAAAAATGAATTAATCAATCTTTCTGTGTAAAGGAAAAGGTTAGATTTAATTACTCAAGTATTACCATTCCTCTATGCATATTTAAATGGGAGCGGAGCGGATGGCCGGGGTGGCTCTTGAACTACAGCTTCTCTGATGCTAATCCTGTGGCTTCCTTTGGAATCAAAAACAGCAATCCAATAGGAATGAAGGTGGAGAATAGTTGAATGAGCAGACCATAGAGAATATTACGAAAAGAATTGGTTGAAATGCCTAGAACTGAAGCAAGAGCAGCTCCATAGAACGAGCCAACTGAGGAGCCGAGGTTGTTTATAGACATAAAAAGGGCAAACAGAGTCCCTTCAATACCAGGAGGGCATAGTTGTCCAGAAAGAATTAGAAACGGCATGAGCCTGCATATTACACCGTTAGCATCATCAAACAAAGCTATTTTAAGCAGAAAATTGATTCAATAAAATTAAAAGTTAAATAATCAAAATTGCTTTTCCTTTATTAAAATGTCCGCTATGTTACTTAAAATAACGTTGAGGGAGGTAAAACAGTTCAAGCTATGATTTTATGTTTCAACAAATGCAGATTCAATATTATTTGCATTCTTCCTTAAATCTTAATTGCAATTTAGATTTTGTTTGAGATGGTTTTCTTGTTAGTTCTTAAAGATGCTTTCTAGTACAATCATTTTAATTTCTATAATATAAAACTGCTTTAAAAAACAGTAAAAAAGTCATTCAAATGAAGATTTAATCTAAGCCATAAAATTATTTGCATTCTTCCATAAATCTTAATTGCAATTTAGACTTTATTTGAGAAGGTTTTCTTATTAGTTCTTAAAGACGCTTTCTAGTACAATCATTTTAATTTCTATACTATAAAACTGCTTTAAAAAGTAGTAAAAAAGTCATTCAAATGAAGCTTTAATCTAAGCCATAAAATTGTCTATCAAAAAATATTAACACATGCAGCCCCACAGCTTTTCAACTCTTAGATATAACTACATACATATAGAATTCATAGAAAATATTAATTATCTGACGTAGAAAACAAACACAAGTATCTTCATTCAAACTCAATCATAATTAAGATTTTCCGTATAAAAGATTAAGGAACCAAACTAACATGCTGACGATCTCAAAGACATCAACTTAATAAAACATTAAATTATTGATCGAAAACTAACTTTATGATTCACAGAGTCCAAACTAATGAGCTAGGCAACTGATCAAGATGTATATTAAATCAATCCAAATAAGAACATTAAATATTCTATTGCACAAAACAACGAATGCAATAAAAAAATGTATACTCTTATTAATGACTTGATTGTCCAAAATTAAAATGCAAATATATGGATTGTAACTTTGGGCAATCTCTAAAATATATACTCTAATTAATGACTTGATCACCTTAAGTTAAAATCCCCCATTAGATTTATTACTATAAAAATTACAGACCATGTATTCAGTTTTAGATCTACTCAAACAAAAAACTTTAGAATCTAAGGTTGACCTCCATATTTCAATTTTTTCTTCAACTCCCTCTGATCTTATCAACGAGAATATCATCAGCAAAAAGCATACACCCCCCTCTTACAAATGTCTAGTAAGAACATCCATGACTTAAGCAAAAATATATGGGCTTAAGGCTGATCCTTGATGTAATTCAACTAAAATAAGAAAATACTCTAACCACCTTGTGTTTCAAAACAAATAACAGCTTTACATACATATTGTTAATGACTTAAATATAAGCATTATTAACTCTATTCTTTCTAAAACTCTCCAAAGCACTTCTCTTATGACTTTGGCTTTGTTTGGAATAGCTTTCTTGCTGTTTCTTAAAACAATTTTCTAGAACAAAAAAAATTGTACTAAAAAGCTAATTTAAGAAGTAATAAAAAAGTCGTCCAAAACAAAGCCTTTGTCATATGTTTTCTCTAAATCAATAAATATCATATATAGATCCTTCTTATTCTCTTTATAGTTTTCCATCAAATCTCTCAATAAATATATAGCTTCTATAGTAGACCTACCGGGAATGAATCAAAATTGATTTTGAGAACCATCGGTATCACATCATAACCTATTCTCAATAACTCTCTCTCATAATTTTAATGTATGATATATTAACTCAATTCTTCTACAATTCGCACTCTTGTGCATCACTTTTATTTTTAAAAATAAGAATCACACTCCACTCGTCTGACATCTTTTTAGTATTCAAAATAATAATAATAAGCCAAGAACTTCATCTCCTAAACATTTCCACACCTCTATTGGAATACATTAGATCCAACAATTTTTCCACACTTCATTTTATTTAAAGCCTCTCTAACTTCTATCTTAATAATACGATGATAAAAATAAAATTCTCTATTTTCATTTAGGATGCTAGTGTCACTAAAGTTAATCGTATTCTCATAATCTTCATTGAAAAACTTATCAAAATATCTCATCCACCTTTGATGAATATTCTTTTTTAATAAAAAAATTTTTGATATTCATTCTTAATGCAATTCACTAAGAACAAAATTCTTATTTCTCCTTCCTTTTTACTCGGCCAACTTATACACACTTTTCGCCCATCTTAAAATCTAATCTATAATATAAATCATTAAAGCCAAAAATTTTAACATAACATTTTACTTTCTTAGACGTGTTACTGACCATTTTATATCTTTTTAAATTTTTTAAATTTTTACATCAATTATCTTTTATAATAAAGCTTCTTTTTTGTCTTTCTTGCATATTATAATTTCATGACCAGCTATTTTTATTATTATGAGTTTTTTTCTTTTAATAATCCCACATCATTTCCAACATTATTAATATCACTAGCAACCTTAAATGTTAAATTTAGAGAATTGGAGAGGTAGAAGGCTTAATTTTATAATACAAAATTATCCCTATTTATAGATCTATACAAGATGTCTTAATAAAAAAAAAACAAATAACTAGAAAATCATGCATAATTTCTTTAATATAATCCTTTCTAAATCAGCCAGACAAATATAAAAGGACATTAACATGATCCAGGTGAGCCTCCCACAGATCCTCATGCTGGTTGTGGGATCCCACAGATCCCCATGTTAGTTGCGGGATCAAGGGCCAAGGGATAGTTGAGATTTAATAGCATGATCCAGACAAGCCTCTCACAGATCTCCATGCTAGTCATTGGATCAAGGGTTAGGGGATGGTTGGGATTTAATACTCCCCTATCATTCCTAGCTTGGTAATCAATCATAGAAAGGTAGACTTATCAAGTCCCTTTGTAGGAATGTCTACAACATCGATTTCATCATTTTCCTGCACCCCATGCATCTTGATTTCACCTTCAATAGACTCCCACTGCTCTTTCTTTAGAAGCAACACCTCTACATCACCATCATCCCAAATTTTATGCATTATTGTACTTTAATCAAAAGAGACAACAATGCCAACATAAAATTTTTTATCCTATGGCCACCAAATTTTTATCTTTGAACAAATAATTGAGTCATCCAAGCATTTCCTATGCTTTTATGGTCCGGAAGACTCTTTTACACCCTGAGCATGCTTCCATCTTGATTTTATTTTATTGATATCTTTCACATGGTTATGATCTTTAACCAAGCCTTTCACTATAAACTTTTGAGAGGAGATAACTTCCTATAATTTTAATTTTTTCCTTCAGCCTCAGCATGCTTAACTCCTTTCTACTTCTTGGTGCCAGCAGTTTGCTTGGTTTACGAGAATCGCAGTCTAACGTTTCTTTGAGATCAATTTCTATCTTCATTACATGGAAGCTTTTTGTCAAAATTACTCCAATCTTTTTTTATTACCAAATCCAAAATTATCATTGCTAATTGATAACTACAATGAATCATTTGTTCCACCTTTGCGAGAACTCAAATTTGACCTTCTATCAAGCTTTGTTGTACATGAATCCAAGCTATGTTTAGTATTAACTCCATATTTACCACTATGATGGCAAAAGTCAGCCTTTTGCTTTTGCATCCATGGAATCACCATTCCCATTCTAAAAAGATCCACTATTCATCACTAGTTTGGAAGATTTAACTGCAGCAGCAACAAATTTTACAGGATGAAAATTTTCACTTTCTTGTTGTGGAGATCCCTAAGGCAAGTCGTCATAAAAGAACCGCTTAGATAATTTATGGACAACTTCCTGATTTTCACTAAAAGCATTCATTTTATTTGTATCGAAATTTCAGGCTTCCCCTTAAATGCAGCAAAAATAATTTTCTTGTAATCACTCAATAGAGCACCATTAACATTAAATAATTTTAGCAAGTCTTTAGCTTCAATGAAAAATTAACAAGAACTTTCTCAGTTAGGTTCTTAGTTATGTGCAAAATATTATTTTCAACACCTTTCACACCATCCAACAAACATGTAAGAAGTTGTGCATAAATACTTTCAATCTACTCCAAAATAAGTGTCATGATAGTCTTATCTGAAAAGAAGACAGTATCAAAATGCTTTGATCTTATTCTCTTCAGGAAATGCTGAAATATTTCCAATATCAAATCATCACAATCAAGATCTAAGATCAAAACACAAGATCGGACCTTTGCAATAGCTTCAAATATTGAAACATGTCTTTGGAAATGAACGGCTTGACATCCCATCTAAATTCGTGAAAGCTCAAACAATTAACCCAAATATCTCCTTCATTATATCATCAACATATGGAGCATCTAGTACTATTATTCTTGTTATTTCACTAAGACAAGATATAATGGAAACTTTCACATCCATGTCTGAGTGCCCCAAAAGATCCTTAGCAATCAATGCCTTCATAGCAAGCTGAACAGTAGTCAACATTGAAATATATAGAGGTTGCTCCATTCTTGACAACAAATTTTCAGCTTAATCAAAAAGTAGCAAAAGCTGTTGTAAATCAGATGGAGGAGATGTCATCTTATCCCCGATGTCCTTGACCCCATCCTCCAGCATTAAATGATCAGACGACATTTGCACAGATGTGCAAAAGAGAGGCCTCAAGTAAGGGATCTAAGCTCTCGGTCCCATGCAGGCACGAAGTCACGAACAAGACCACCAATCCAAGTGTCCGGCTGTTTCCAGGAATGCATGCATAAAAGCTCCACACGACTCCTCCCGGTGCTCGATTCCTTCAGCATAGGTAAGAACGCACGCAAAGAGGCTCGATCTCCTTCGCAAGTACGAGGGTTCCTGCTCACTCCTCTCCCCTCGACTTCCAAAAAGAGATGCATGAAGCAGATGACCAAGAGAAATGTCGCTCCTCTCTCAATCGCACTCAGGGTCGAAGATTGATCTTGATGCTGTCGTTCCTAGGAAGTTATAGAGGCTATTTAGACGCGTGTAGGAGGAGGTCCTGCACTCAACTTCTCTCGCTTCTACTTGGTTGACTT